TGCCCAGGGACACTTCAACATGTGACTGAATAGCAATGGAATTGAACCACCAACTCTTTCAGTGGAGAACAACTCCCCTAATCACTCATCCACAACTATCCCCAATGTAGAGCTGGCCTGGATGGACCACCTCTTGCAAAACACGTGGACCACTAAAGAACCATCATTCTTTGCAGTATCTGGGCATTTTGTGTGCCAGAWATGGGTCAAATTTTGCTATGTTCATTTATACCAATAAAATGGCAGGTCACCAAATTCCAAATTTTTAAAAAGAAAAACAATTTATCACATCATCAAAAGTGGTAAAAACAATGACTGTTTACTGTCATGGGAAATGGAACTTTTTCAAAGTTAAAGTTTATTTAGACGTCCTCCTGTTCATTAGATCATGTTTTTCTCTTTTTTGATTTTTTCTCCTTTTTCTTGATGATTCTATTAGACTTGTTCTCTGCATTATTTATTATTTGATTTATAGGAACTGATTGTCACTAATCTTTTTGTCTCCTTTCATAAATCTATACAATTCCTCTGTTTTCTTTGTTTCCTTTCAGTTTCTCATCCCACAGTTCCAGTTGCTTTCTGTTTCTTTTTTGAGAAATATGTTGGTGTTTTTTTTTTACATCAACTTTACTGCTCTACCTGCCTTGTTTTTCCATGTCATCCATCTACCAACCTGCTATTTAGTTTCTGCATTTGGCTCCACACCTTGCTGACACACTGGATTTAGACAAGTTTATTTTATTTTTTTCTAAATCTAGTTATCAGAAATGCACTGAGGTTAGAAATGACATAGTTTTGTTTTTCCATTTCCAACATTAATGTATTGTGAAATAGGCAAAGCAGATAAATGGAAAGAATCCTAAATGAGGCGTATTCAGCTTTACTATGAAAAATAGGTACAGTAGCTGCAGTAAAATAATTGAATGTAATAGCCTTCAACAACCAAAATGCACTGTTGAAAAATAGTGTTTTCTTTTGCTTTTGGTTGAAAGTCTCAAGTGAAGAAGATCAAATATATATTTTTTCCATCAATGATGGGAAGATACATCAACAGGCAAGTTGTGATGTTTTTGTATTGATGCAATCCATCTTTCTGTTGTGCAAAAAATGGCATCATAGGTCCAAAGGCAAAACTTTTTATCTATCTTTCAATCTACATTCCATACATATTCTATGGATATAGAAATAGCAAACTGATCTACCAGCTGAACTTTAGGTCAGATTTCTCTTGCAGGTTGAGTAGCCTAGATATCTAATACCTCAGAAAAGGATTGATGGTCTTTCACATTAAAAGTTTTAAGTTGTTGAGACAGGGGTGTCACAGAAGAATGTCCCCTGGATATATCTTCATTGGATGTATTCTGGGCATGTCTGTTCAAAGCAAACTGGGGTGATTAGATCCCACCTGGYTCGGGAACAGAAGGTAGATGATCATGTGGAATTCTTCGCCTATTGATTCAGATGTAACCTGGTTTTTAGTGAGCCATAAAAAACAAGGTTTATTCAAATAGGAAGCAGCACAATGGCAACATTTAGGGACAAAAAGGTTATTTCTAAACTGAAAAAAAAGATGAACACAAGCAATGACCTGTTTTAAAAAATGGTCAGGTGGCATTAGCTGCATAACGAACAACAATGCATTACAGCAATTATAACAATTTATAAAACTTCAACACAGTTTTATGTCCTACATTGTGATTTTGGGTTTAAAATGAGAGCAAAACAGAATCCTGTACAGGGCAGTATGTTAAAGTACACAAAACAATTAGCTTGAAAAAGGATACCTTCCCTGTTATTACTAAATGTCTCATGACTGAACTAAACAGTACAAATTAGGTTCAGGGATTCTTCCTTTTGATGTCTTAACTGCACTTCACGTGCCTATCCAGACAAGTCTGAGAAAGCAGCTGAGAATGTTTGTGTTTATTTTTCATGCTTCCTCTATTAACCCACCTTTTTACTAAGTACACTTGTTTGTATTCCCTTCATTTCTCCTTCACTGTTTCATCCACCATCCTGTGTACCCTTCTGTTGAAATCACCCCTTTCCTCCTCTCTGCTACTCCATTAAGTAATGAGCCAGCCCAATAAATCACAGCTACTGTCCATTCGACTGAAAGCCTTGWAAAAATAAGACACCCGATGCTTGGCTAAATCAGCATTATCCACAGCTCTGCAGCATAGTCCAGTTCTTATGTAAGGCAGTATAGGGCTCATGCTGTCCTTCACCACAGGACAGAGGACTTGTTAACGGATCCTATGTCTCTACAACATGGGGGGATGATTATGACTGGGTCAATATCGAGAATGAGTGGCTACATTGATGTTCGATAGCTGCTGGGAAGACTTTTCTCCCTGTCGTGCTGTGATATCCAAGAATAGATGCAGTGAATGAGTTTCAGACAACAACAAAAAAAGGTTTTGGATAAACCGCCTCAGTCTSGGTTCTATCTAACCTGCAGTAGTTTTTTAAAATCTCCTGTAAGTGGGATCATAATGTGAAAAGCAGCTGTTTGTGTGCATTCCAAGGAGCTCAGCTATCATATCCCTTCCTAAGATGTACAGTGACTGCTTTGTGTGCATTATAGAGGCCCTGTCACACTGTAACATTTTAGACAACCTGGGCCAACACATGAAAAGTTTGTCCAACACTTAAAATGTCTAAGATAAAGACGGAATTAAAAAAAATCTACTTGAAGCCTCTTTTGGACCKATACATATTGTAATGCTAACAATTAGACCAAACAGTCAATATAAGTAAAATAGTCATAACGTTTTCATTAGTCAGCACAAATTGTCTAAAATGTTATACTGTGACAGGGCTTTAACAAAGAACAGGTTGCAGGTATAGCCTTTCTTATTCAAACAAGGCTGAGAAAATATTAACCAACTGTTATGGACCAACAATGTTTGGAATGTGTATCTGTGAGTGCAACTGTTCTTCAAAGAGTTATTCTTACTTGCAAAGTATGCTGATCATTTAAGTGCTCCTTCATTGTCAGACAGCTTTTTGTCTAAAGAAACTCCAAGAAGATAGATATTTGTGTTGCCTATCTACAAGAACAATGACACTATTACAATAGGTGATCGTGAACTAATTGATGTTTAGGTTTTCCAAACCTAAACTTTGTTTACAGGTCATATTAGATCCTCTCTAAGCACCAAGCCCTACATACAGTCTGGCAATTAGGCTGAACAAGCCACTTGCACCCACTAGATAAATGAATATCTGAGCTGTAAATAGCTAAGTAGCACGTACCTCACCCTGTAAATGCCCAAACAGATCCAGAAGGGATTACGTGTCTCGGAATGATTGGTATGTCTGTCAGTGACAGACAGCTTATGCTGCTTAAAGTTGGAATCAAGTAGAGTCAAAGATTAAACTCATTATTAGGAACATGTGTAAAATGAGGTTGGTACATGTTATTGTCTTATAAAGGCAGGAAATTTGTCTCTGAAACMAGAGTTTCAAAAGAAAGCAGATTGTTTTTTTTTTGTTTTTCCATGTGAACAGATCAACAAAACATGCTCATAGGAACCCGAACCTACGTCATTCCCTTTATGTTTCTATTTTCACTATCATCATCTAAATTATTTCCATTTTTGCTCAATGCTTTTATTTGAAAAAGTATTCATATTTGTAGCATAGTGACCTATTTTTAATAGTTGTTTTTTTTATATTTTTGATGAGACATTACATTATTATTTTTATTCCTCACTAAGTCATTGAGTCTATGAATCATTTACTTTTTCATAAGTATCCACTGGTAAACATTAGCTTCTCAGTTGATTTTGTAATCATGAAGCACCATATAAAGATGCTATACGGCTACCTCCATGCTTTGTTGTCATGGTATTTCATTTACCATCGCAGGTTCTGGCCAGATTCATTTCAATTGTTTAAACCCTACAAGCCAAACAAAATATTTCATCATTCTGCATGTTGATATTTGGCATGTACGCACATTTTTTTGTTTCATTGAACAAGCTCTTTTTGGATATTGTGTGCAGTTCAATTCAATTCAATTCAATTCAATTCAATTCAATTCAATTCAATTCAATTCAATTCAATTCAATTCAATCAATTCCATTCATTTCAGTTCAATAATATTTTATTGATCCCAGAGGGAAAATTCTGCACAAAGGTAATATTATGTCCTTTCTGCTGTTCAAGCTGCCATGAAAACTCAAATTTCTACTGACAACCCTCATTCCACATGCGACACTCTTGACCCTTTGATTTTAAGAACCAGAYTGTGTTGGTAGCACACTGGCTGTGACTCTAATTAGTGATGATCCCCAGTTGAAATCCCCTAGTTATTACTGTAATGCTGTGTCATCATAATTTAGCTGCTGATGTTCTTGTGTCTTTTTTTCATTTATGTGAGTTGGACTTCTCAGTTCCTATGGGTAATCTTTTCCACATAAGCTTTGATGTAGACATGCAGAGAGGCACAGCTGGATCTGAAATGTTGGTATTCACAGATCATTTTGGTAATTAGACTTTAACAATCTCATCAGCACTCAAAGTAGCTTCAATGACAACACACTTTTATACGGTTAGTTATTCTCTTTACTTTGATTGTTGAGTTTCTATACTCACAGGTCTGTATCACATGAAAAAAAAGTCTTCATTGACTTGTCAGGTAAAAAAAATGCATTTATTTCGACACTGAACGGATTTTGGAGAAGTGTTTTTTTTTATCAACTAGCTCTAGTTTTGAAAACTCGGATATAAATTTTTAAAGCGCTGCTGTGAGTCAGCGAGCCTCATGATAAAATCACTTTTAACTTCCTTTAAAGAAATCCCGCGGGCCCCCCTGCAGATCCCACCACGTATAGACGTGATTAGTCAAGCACGTCTTTTTCACTGCAAGTGAGGTGGAGAGAGAGAGCCAGGCCAGGGGGGAGGGAGAGAGGGGAGGTGGGGGTTGCATTCGGAGGAGAGGGGGGTCACCTTTTGTGCAAATATATCAACCAAGTAGACTGCCACCAGCAGCATCAGATTTCTGAGTGCGCGAGTGTGTGCGCGCGTGTGCGAGGGAGAGAGGCACTGCTGATTTTATTTTTGCAGCGTGGGGGAAGAGGTTTAGAAAGCGTTGGAGCACTGAAAACAGAGAAGTACTTGCTGCTGATTTATTTTGGCTTTACAACCACACAACCAAGTGACTTTGAGAAAAAAAAAACAACAACAACAAAAGTTGAAGAAGGCAGCCATGGACGGAGTAACACTTGGACGCGCGTCGCTCCTGTGCACCTTGCTGCTCTGGGCATTTCAAAGTAAGTCTCTTTTGACATCTTCTGCTATTTTAAACACGATTTCTCTTCCGGTGAGCCTTTATTATGACTGATGTAGTGCAGGTAGACTTTTAGAGCCTGCAGGCTGAGAGTTTTACGCTTTCCTGTTTAGGCTCGCCCGGACTTTCAGTCTCAGTTACGCACAGGCTACACCAAAAGAAAAGAAAAAGTCGCGGTTTATTAACTTTTAGCCATATGGATCAAACAGTTCAGTTTGATTTATTGTTCAAATATTCTGTATTTGTGTTAAAACAACCTGTTAAGCTTCGGTGACTCTAAATGRGAGACAAGCGAACAAGTGGAAAAGCGGGAGTTATTTCAAACACAGCGTGCTTCTTTCCTTTAGATGGAGCAGAAAAGAAAAGATCCTCCCGCAGGAACGTTTCAGGTCGCGCAGCTTCTGAAGTGTCTCCTGACGGGATGGTAAAGTGTTGCGTTTTGCGGGGGGTTTCAGTTCAGTGAGACCTCTCAGGAGGGTCCGGGAGCGCGGACTCATTTCCGCTGCACGCTGCGGCTGCAGCGGTCACGCACTTTCACAGAGGAGACGAACTTCTAGTTTTATTACTAGGGATGATAAAGAACCCCACACGGCTAAAATAAATAAAATAAAATAAAAAGAAACACAACCCCCTAAAGTAAAGCTTCCCAAAATCCCGGAGTAAATCTCTTCCTTTGGAGTGAGAATTCTCAGACCTGAAGCTTTTCTTGTAAAGCCGCAGCCCGCTGGATCAGACCGCTGCGGTGCGGTGCGGTGTCCAGCACTTTGATGTTTGATCTGCGGGATTTCTGTCTCCTGTGTTGGCAGTGAGCCTCACCCTCAGCTCTACCTTAGTACTGCCTTTAAGACTGGGCCAGCCTAAATGTAAATTCTCTCTTGTTCTTAAATGAATTTCATTGAAGAAAAGTTTGAGAAAACATGTTTTTTTTTTACTGACCCCATTGCGCCATGGTTAATTAGGATTTGTTGAACTGAAGGTATTAGTCAAGATTTTATGTACGTTTTTAAAAATTTCAAGGTTTCTATTTGCTTTGTTTTTTAACTATTTAAATTTCTGACCAGAAACACTGTTTTAGGCATTATCTCATTTTTAGGATTCGGTAGCCACGCCCCTTTCTTGTCCATCCAATTAAGTCAAAGGGCTTGGCTTGAATGCTACAACGCCTCTCTTTGTAGTTTTGTACCTCTGACTAAACTTCATGCATGCCAGCTAGACTTTTATCACTTTGATTAGTCTTTCTCTTTATTTTTAAATAAGTTGCAGCATAGATTTTACTTGTGTCTACCTCTATCTTAAAKGGGTAGTTCAGATCTTTACGGTGAGGTTAAGGTTGGGAAGAAATCACATCATTACAGCTGCAAAAGAAATGGAGTAGAATTTTGACTGGACTGATGAAAAAACACTATTTTATTAAAGGCACAGTGTGTASGATTTTGTCAATTCTTTTAGCTGAAATTGAGATAATCACTAATGACAATAATAAAAAACATGTCTAATCAATGCAGACAAAGACCTTGTTTTATTATTTTTACCTTCTTAAAAGCTGTTTATATCTCCATGGGTGCGGGTCGCCACTACAGGCAGCCGCCATCTTGCACCACCATCTTGTCTACGAAGGCTCATGAAGGACAAACTGCGGTGGGGGCGTCAAAAATGGTTTTAGCTGTACTATAAATGTAATATTTGTTGTCTGTCATTGTAGCTGGGATAATTTTACTTATTAAAGCTCATAATCTTACCACTTGAAACATCACTAGCCCTGAAGCTGCTGGTAGACATCGTGGTTGGAATTATCAAAGGTTTTTGACACCTGAGAGACACCGTAGCAACTCCTTTGCGTTTGGAAGCGGGGGTGGGGGTGGGGGGAGGACCAGGGAGGATGATTCAACCACTCAACCACTAGATGTCGCTGAAAACAACAAATCCTACACGCTGTGCCTTTAACTGAGGTTATTTACAGAGCTATTATTTGCTCATAAACATTCCAGAAAGCACTTCAAAAGATAAACTATCACTTTGTTCCATCATTCTTGAGTTCCCCGAAACTTCTTTTACTCCCTTATAGGCTACATGTTAGATTTTGCCTTACATGGAGCTTAATAAAAACCAAGTAAAAGTTCCCTGTAATTGATAGAATCGAGTGTAGTGTACAACACACCTCACAGCTGCAGTGTGTTGATTAAAAGCCTTGACTCCAGGTGCAAAGCCCCCTTCGTTCTACCACACACACACACACACGCACGCACGCACGCACGCACACACACACACACACACCTTCATCCCATCCTTCACCGTTTCCATGCCCTGGAAATGTTCCTCAGAATAGAGGAAAAAAAGAGAGCCAAACTTTTTTTTTCTCAAATCTCTCCCCCTTTTTTCCCCTTGTCTCCCTTGAGCATAGTTTTGTCTAACAATAGAAGCTCGTGCTAGTTCTCAGTGGAATTGTGTCTCACAGACCTACATTCTTTAGATTACTGGTTGTACATTCGCAACTTCCAACACAGTTGAGAGCAGATGTGAACTAAATTGAGCCACAGAACACAGATCACTGAGATTTGTTATCTCTTAAGTGTGTCTGGGTCTGTGCTGCCGTAAAAAYGACAGCATCAGGACTTTGCAGACGCAGAGTTGCTGACCCATATTTATGGCAGCACCTAGATGTTTCTAGATGTTTTGATGGTCAGATTTTCTTCTCACAAGTTCAGAATTTGGGGTATCTAATTTTTCAGCACTTTCATGAACTTTTAAAGATTGCATGCTATGTGTATTTTTTAGCTAAAAAAGTAAGGAAGTTTGTGTTTAGTAGATTATTTCTTTGTTGTAAAAATGCTTATTGGCAATAAATCACACCATTCAACAGCCTGTTAAATTCCCTTTTAAATTGTGTCACATTTGTAAGGAACATGCATTTGTGGGATTCAAATGCAACTGAATTCAATTCRAAAATGCTTTATTGATCCCAGAGGTAAATTGGGTCAGGGATGAGCAGAGCTGAGTATGTGAGTTGTGCAAATGAAAAATTAGCCAAATCTTCTCAGCCAAACATTTTATTTTGCTGTCGCTACTGACTCTAGCTTTGAGTTTCTGCTGGTACAAGATTATTTTTCTAAGGTTTTGAATAGCAAAACATATGTGCTTTAAAAACATTTCAGAATTATGGCGATTTTACTGCTTTTTTGCCTTTTTTAAAATCAATAAGAGAACAAAACAGATAAAATGACATTAGGGTACATAGACAAAAGGAGAGTCAATAATCAGCTGCATTTGAGCTAAAAGGTGAGGAAAGTGTAAAGAATCATTTTGACAAAAATCAGTTCGGATCAAAGTGTTAGCCTCTAACACGTAAAGTCAGCCTTTTTGTCAAACACCGCCTTAGCTCTCTCACTCATTTCCTCGCTTTTAATTTCTCTAACCCCCTGCCAGCACGGCATCAGAAGTGCACCCCCCGCAGCCGTGTGTAATTATTATGGTATTAGGTCAGAAAAAGAGCCATTTAGCTACGAGGATGTAAAACCAGAGGGCCACTTTCACAGCTGTCCCAGAGCATTTTCGTGGTCAGTTTTTGCAAAGTCGAACACTTCATTCAGTGTATGACTATGAAAAAAAAGGCATAAACATATTTGTTTAGGTCCCTCTAAATGGAGTGACACAACCCATAATTAACTCATAGATACACATGACCCTTGGTGATATCTAGTCCTAGATAGCTCAGAGCTAGATAACAAGAGTCAGGCTGCATGTTTGCCCCCTTCTCAATTAAAGAGGAGTGAGCTTTTGACTGGAGGGGCCAAAATGATTGTATTTGTGAATTTGTGTGACCGTGAGATAATGACTGAGTAAATCACTGAGGTGGAATAAGTGGCATTCCTTAGGACATGTTGCCGCTTGCTTTGTAATGTGTGTTTTTTGTTTGTCATCACCCCAAATTCTGTAGGAAAGGGTTTCCTCTTTACACTTTAAAGCCCACTCTGACCGCAATTCACAAGTAGTAATCCAAGCACAAACTTGCAAACCGCAAAAGTGTTTTTTTTATCTCATCGTCTAAAGGTAGGATTATAGGTAAAAAAGCTGGAATCTGTTTTTTTTTTCTTTTTTGGTTGGTTGGTTGGTTTGTTTGTTTTGCTTTATCAGGTTGCATTTTTGTGAGATGACTAAGTTTGACTCAATTGAAGAATGACAGGGCATCAATTAAACTATAAAGGGTATATTTAGGTTGACTTGTGGAATTTCATTTAGCACACAATTGTTTGATTTCTGCCCTAACATATTAAAAGTCAATGTGTCGAGTTATTAATGTTTGTTGGTGAACTCAGTAGTGATGTACAATACCATCGATTTCCTTTCCAATTCTGATACCAAATAAAACTCAGGTTGGCATTGACAATACTGATCCAATACTGATACATTGTGCAAATACACCTAATGATGGTAAATCTAAAAAAGTGGTACATTTCAAATATTTATTTGTTTTAAATTCAGAAGTGTATTGATGTAGTGTCCTGATTTAGTCAAGCTAATGCAACCGAAAAACCAAACAGATGACATAACCATACAAAATATGTGAAAATGGTGTTTTAAACAAAAAAAAAATGAAGTAAAGTAATAAAACCATTAAAATAAATTATTGTTGAATCACCATGAACATGCTAACATGATAAAAACTGAACATGTAACATCTACAGACTGGATGAGGATGTGCTGATGTGCTTACACAAAAGTAGTTTCCGTCAAATGTGAAATACTATTTAGTTGAATAAAACTATTTTATGGTTCAGATTTCAAAGTCTTATTTCTCTACATGTTGTTTTCTTCCACTAAGAGCTGCAGCCAAAACTGTCATTACGCACAAACCTCAACAGGTTTAAACCAAAGGTGTATTTTTTGCCAGATTAGCTTTGTCTGTGTACCCTTCTTTGTCCCTATTATTTTATCTGATCCCTCCCCTCATTATCTTTTATCTGTCTCCTCTTTCCGTCCACGCTG